GTGTATCTCTTGGAATGCCTGAGCCTCACATTGTACATCATACAGAGTACCACCATGCTACAGACACAAGAATTAGCAGTGATCTGGATGATTGTATTATCTTGCCATGTAAGAAAAGAACAGTGTAAACATACCTGGCAAACCAATATGATCACTTGCATAGCAAATCGTTTTCTTGGTCTACATTAATTTCTGAAGGATGTAGTTTAATAAAAAACAGCAGAAATAAATAGATATGCCATGTAACCTAACTTTTCCCAGCCCTTCTATGCTTACAAACAGTTGGAACTCCTTGGAAAATACATTGCAGACAATCCATTTCCAATATGAAATAAAATTTCAACCATTTAAATTTTTCTTAAAAATAGAAATTTCCAGTATCTCTTTTTCTATGTCCATGTAAAGGAAAAAAAAAATATTTTGCCTATGAGAAGCAAAGCAATTAATAATTTTTCCTCTTCTCTCACTCCATTTTCTCATAGAGATTCAGAGGAGAGCTACTTTAGATGGGTACCAAACATAAAGTGCTTCCAGAAATCAGGGACAGTATGGTCTTAGACAAAATATATTTGCTCCAAAAATACTAAAAAAGGGTTCCCAGACAAACTGCTGAAAGTCTGGAAGACCCAGCATTGTTCTCAAAGTTTTCTGGCAAACCCGTGCTGGGGAGAATTGTGATGTATCTTAAGACTAGTGAAGATCCTAAGGTATCACCCCAGCGATATAGTCAGCTACTCTGTTTAGGTCAGTATTGTCCCTGTAATGACTCACCAAATTCAGCATTTCACAAAATAAAAAGCCATGTGAAATCTTAAATATTTTACCATGCCTACATTTCATGACTCCACCTCAAGAAGAAAATCACTGAAAAAAAATCAGTCACTACAGAAATATTTAGAAGTGTAACTTCCAAACAATGCTCCTCATTCAAAACTACTTACATCTTCTTGGATGCTTCTAGCTGACAAATTAAGCTAACTTGTCAACATCAAACTAAATAAGTAGTAGATTCCTCATTAAAAGCTATTAGGACAGATTTTTTTTTCTTTTTAATTTCCATGCTGAATCTGAAGTAGATTGGGAATGGAAATGAAGTACATTGGAAATGTGGAGGTATCAGTAAGTCAGTTAAGATTTATTATTTCTCTCCAAAATAAGTGAAGAACATACCATCTTGTACAACTTGGGTATCAAAAAACTTTTCAGAATTTGAAAGTCAACATAGACATAAAACTCTTTCCACAGGAAGTATTTGCAATGACCTCAAAAAATATAAATGAAAGAAAGCAGATTGTGCAACAAAAACACAACTAACTTTGTAGTGGAAGTCTATTCATATTAATCATATCCAAGCATGTGCATAAGAAGAGCTTACATGATCCAGGGTCTGCTTTGAAAATAATATTCAGTATTGCTAACACTCACATCTGTACTTAGGCTGTACCTGCCCACATGTAAGCAGTCAGAACCATAAATACTAAAATGTCCATCAACTTACAGAGCTATGTGTCTGCAGCTTTGAGCTTTCTCTCAAAGCATAAGTGCAGAATTAACAGTCTCCATGAGCAATAGGTGAAGAGCTACGATATTGAGAATTCACAACTTTCCTGAGCTTTAATAACATAAATTAGAAATTTATTAGAAAGCTGTCTGCTTCAGGACAGACAACTGGAATCATGTGAATTTGGCACTTTCTTGGGCATAGTCCTAAAATTCAGGAGAGGAAACATTCTTTGTAACTCTCTCTCCCTTATGAGCATCTGCCCAATCATGGTTGAAAAGAGACATCCAAATGCACTCCAGCTTTTCAGCTGGGTTGCAAAATGTTCTCTGCCAAAAATGAAAAGGACATTGTTGGAAGCTGAGCTGCTTTGGGCTGCAGGGATTATCTTTCATCATTTGTGTGTCAGAACCATCACTCAAAAACGAAATACCAAAAATGTAAATATTCACAGTGGGCAGCTGTTCTGAATTTGGAGAACATCAGCTTCTGTTGGACAGTGGTTTACTGTTTGCTAAAGCTTTTTCATACAGAAAGAATCCAGTTTTTTGCAGGATCTATTGATTTCTGTGGCCATCACTTCCTCAAACACAAACACTCTGTGTCATAGTGGTATCCTGTGAATGGCTCTTGAAACTGTTCTCAGGAGCTACAAGCCTTGACTTTAAAAGCAGAAATAGCTTTTTATCACTGAGTGCTCCCAGTCTGATATGGAATCACAAAAACAAGTTTAGGAGCTATTCTTTTCCTGATAGATCAAGTGTTCTTTCAGATATATCAGGACTTGAAGAATTCTATATGACCAAAGTAGTATGCTGGGCAAGTCAAAGCTCTAATTCAGCCACCCTAGTCTCATAGATTGAAGTCCTCCCTGATGAAACACATGTTCTTGTTATCTTTCTTTAAAAGCAAATTATCTTTTTATTCTTCTGAAGGGATGAACTTGTAACTCCAGGATATTGGGATATTGGCCAGAACTACTCTGCTTGAGGTACAGAGGAGACAACTCAGACACTCTGCAGACCCTTGAATATGAAGCAGTGAGTCAGGAAAGCACCACAAGCTAGTGGACTGAGACTAGGAATAGTCCCAATGATTACACTCCCTCTGGTTATAGTTTATCCTATAAATCTAGTAGTAAAATAATAAAAGGCACATTCTGGCAACCTAGGCAAATTGCCTACAAAACACAGACTACAACATGTTGATTCCTCATCCAATTACCCTATACATTTAGTAGCTCTGGAAAAAAAATAGACCGATTAAATCTTTACAAACACATTCCCCTAAGAAAATTATTTTGAAACACTGAACTTTAATAAATGAATTAATGCTTTTCTCCAGCTTTCACCTACAAGGGTACCCATGTATTTTCATAACATGGGCAAGCTTCCATCTTAAGTCCACTGCATTATGAGGTACAAACTGTAATTAATCTTTGTTTTGAGGAACATTCTTGTCAATACTAAAAGGGCTTTTCACAGCTCTCTTCTACCTTCTCTTTAAACATTAAACACCAAATCCATTCATACTATGTTTAATCTTACGAGACCATGTTTTCTTCAACAGAAAATCCAGATCCTTCTCGCCCTTGTTCTCCAGAGGCCTCTCATTAGCATCTTTTTCATGGAAGGTGATCCTCAGAAACAAACATTCTGTCAGTGGGGAAACAACAGGAGAATTTAG